GTGGCTGAAACGAACACAACAATGAGAACCAAAAGACGGTTAAGGGTTGGTTGTGTCACATATGGTTGTCTAGGTATACACTAAAGTTCGACGGTTCAAAGATATCAAATCTACCGATTGACCGAGTATATCCGACATATGTTCACTACGGAAAGTTCAAAGGGAAACCTACTTATCCAGATGCAATTCATACTTACTTGCAAATCACACAGCTTTCATCTATGATCATTCTTGTTACAGCCATTCCCATTCATGTGGGGGATTGTTGGACTTTAAGCATTGGGCTTTAAAGATTTTAAGCATTGGGCTTTAAAAGTCTAAGAGTGTGAATTGAAAATGGTGGGAAATAAAATGGAAGGAAATAAAAATTTGAATGAAGTGAGCTTTTGTCTTGAACTTTGTCCCTCATTGGTGAGGGACAACTACATTTGTGTGTATATATATAGGATCACTTATTAGAGCTCTTAAAAGGAGTTGAAGAGAATGAACCCTCGCGCCGTCGTCGTCGCTCGCTCGGCTCGGCTTCGGCTTTGGCTTTGGCTTTGGCTTTGGCTTTGGCTTTGTATTTGGATTTGGATTTGGATTTGGATTTGTCAAATGATCGATCGATAAGATTATTTTTTGGACAAAATTTATTTAATTAATTATTTAATAATTAATTAAAAGCCAGTCAGTTAATTAACGAAATTAACTGAAATCTGAAATCCAAAAAATGCTGAACATTAATTATTCCCTTCTAAACAGACACTTTTCCTGAACAGCCATCACACCTCTTCCGATAATTGCCTATAAATTCTGAGGCATGGCTGCATTTTCGGCACACTGAAAAATTACAGAACTTCCTTCCTTCTGAAAATCCTGCATTCTATTTCGCAGAATCTCTTCTAAATTCGTAAGTGTGATTTTGCTCCGTTCTTTGAGTTCGTTGGTATCCTGCAGTTTGTATTGCCACTGTTGCAGGAAGGTTTATTCCGTTTCATCCTGGAAGGATTTAATCCATTACCTTGGCAATGTGTGAGGCGGTTAAAATTCCTTAAGGACGCACAAGCAAATTGTGGACTCGGAATATCTTTTATACTTTACTGTTTTCCCAGTTTTTTCTTCTAACAATCTTTCTGATTTTGTGTTTTAATACAGTAGCGATTATAAGTAGCACCAGTATCTACAATCCAGTAGTCAGCTAGATCCTCTAGAGATTGAGAATTAGCATTACCTGCCATATTTGCTGCATGTTCTTCTGATTTGTCCTTGCTTATCATCTTCATGATCTGGTTGTATTGCTCATCAGTAAAGAAGTTGAGCATTCCTTGACTCATCCCTGCATTATCCTAAGTTGCAACAACATTTTTGCCAGAACTGCTATCACTCATAGCCATGTTAGCTTGCTTATACTGCTGTGATTTCTTCCCCTTGAAACCAGATGGATATCCAACCAATTTGTAACAGGTATCTCTTGTATGTCCTTTGTTTCGACAATACTCACAGTTCAAATTATTAAACCTCTTAAACTTTGACTGATTATCTCTAGAACTCATTAGAGCAGTAGAATCATTTACTTCATTTGTCACATTAACATGTGAATTAGTCTCAAACACTCTTCTTTGATTTTCTTCATTTATTAACATTGCATAGGCACAACTGACAGAAGGTGATGGAGATTGAAGTAAAATCTGACTTCTAATTGCATTATAGGATTCATTTAAGCCCATTAAGAACTGAAAAAATTTCTGCTGCTCCAAGTGTTTGATAAAATCTCTAGTTCCAGTCGTAACAGGAAGAGAAGGAATCATGGAATTATATTCATCCCAAAGTGACTTTAACCTATAATGATATATGAAATGCTAGATGTACCTTGAGAAATGGTAGCTATCTCCCTCTGAAGGTTGTAGATCCTAGATCCATTAACTTTATCAAAACGATCCTGCAGATCTAGCCAAACTTCATGAGCATCACTAGCATATACGATTCCATTCACCAGATCTAGTGAAACCGTGTTCATAATCCATGTCAAAACAACAGCATTCACTCGCTCCCATTCTTCCTCCAAGTCGACTGTAAATTGAGCTTTTATATAGCTCCCATCGATGAATCCTAGCTTGCGCTTTGCTCGCAATGCAATCACCATCGCCTTGCTCCAAACTGAATAATTCTCAGTTCCTTTGAGCTGTATCGATATGATGACATTTTCAGGATTATCAGAAGGTTGCAAATACAAAGGATGACGGGGATTGTCGATGTCCAGATTCGCCATGACTGACTGTCAAAAGTTGGCTTCAAAAGTTTGAACTGATGATTTCAGAAGTTGTATCTACTGATTAATTCCTAGCCTCGATCGATCTACTCGAGCTCTGATACCATGTAGAAATCCACCATTGTTAAGTGGAAGAAGCTAGTTGAGAGAATCGAAGAAGAAGAGAAAATGGAGGGAAAATCAATTTTAACTAACTTTCTGAAAAAGAAGCCAAAAAATACATACATCCTTATACACATATATATAGATTCTCACTACTTCATCTATCACTAACCTCTACAACTAACTTCTAACAAACTAATACAGCTGTACAAGTGCTTCAATCACGTGTTAATTTCTACATTTTCTATATCGGCTCAAGAAAAGTAAAATCATAGTAGTTTTAAGAAAAAAAATATAATAGTAGAGAAGCAAAAAGAAAGCAATAATAATAAGATAATTGAATCACGAGGAAATAACATGTAGCAAAAGAGTTCTAAGGATAGGGAAATACGAGAATAATACTAATACTACTGGTATAGGAAAGAAATAGACTTGACTACCTACTAACCATCTACCATAATTCCCGACCTCTAATAACCCTCCTATCAAGGATCATGTCCTCGGTAAGTTGAAGATGTACCATGTCCTACCTAATCACTTCTCCCCAATACTTCTTCAACCTACCTCTACTTCTCCTCATCAAGGCCGGCTGGAGCTTAAGTCCACTAAGGCAATGGCCTTACGCCCCCAAAATTCTTAGGGTCCCAAAATTTATAAATAATATATATAGTATTTAATAAGTATGCACTATTGATAGAATTTTTAAATCATTTGGTTAAAATAGTTACAGCTAAAGTTTTACACATCTTAAATTGTAGTTACTAGTTGTTTCTTGTCTTTAATTCGCCCCTATTTAATCGATCTTCTTACAATATTAGTTTAGAATAATTTTTCTTAATTCTCTAAGTGCCTTTGTAGATATTTTTACTTTGCGTAACTAATCAAATTCTTCTTTAATATTGAATGACTCTTGAAACATAGTAGTTACTACAATATTATTTGTTTCAACTTATATTTAAAATTAAAACTGCTAAAAGAAACTACATAAGCAGATGAATACTCTATTTGGCAAATTCAATCAGGTAAAAAGGTTAAGACAATTACCATTAACAATTTCTATATCACTTACCTCGGTTAAAAAAATTTCAAAACTAAAGCAATAAAGTTCAACATGATAACACAAGAGAGATTAAACAAATTGCATAGACATTGGCAATAGTTAAAACTGATTATAACTTCTTTAGATTTTGATAAATTATAAGAGTAAAAAAATAATAAAAGAAATTTAAGACTTCACTTTTTATTTTCGCCTTAGGCCCCATATTGTGTCGAGCCGTCCCTGCTCCTCATTCCCACCCATCTGCCAACCTCTTACACCTCCCTACTGGAGCATGTGTTCACCTCCTCTTCACATTTTCGAACTATCTTAGCCTCGCTTCCCGCGTCTTATCCACCACAGAGGCTACTCCCGCCTTATCCCCAATATCTTCATTCCTAATCATATTTCTCCTAGTATATTCAAATATACATCTCAGCATCCTTATTTCTTTTACTTTTATCTTCTGGATATGAGAGTTTTTGACTGACTAACACTCCGCCCATAAACACATATGTAGCGCGCGTCTTATTTTTAACCCATAAGTAACACAAGTTTATGTATGTATATACAATTGTCTATCTTACTGATGAATCATTCAAGACTGTTTTAAAGAGTCTTCCTTATTTCGGCAGGATATCACATTAAAGACAATCTCTTAGATTAGCTGTGCTCACTCTCTTTATGAATAAGAAGTTAATCCCTTCATTTATTTTTCACTCTGGCAGTCTGGCTCACTTGAATTTTACATTTTTAGCTTTGGCTACAGCGTATTTTTAATAAATTGATTTCTTTAAACACTTGGGGGGAAAAAAGCCACCAAATGCTCGAAGGCTATATGGACTCCAAATGAACGGTAATTGTTGCGTTGCTAATACATGTGTTGTAATACAATTAAGCGAAAAATTCACAAAAATCTTTAATAATAACATTTATCGGCTTGCATTAACTCCCGAACCTCAACATAATTGCGGATCAGTAAGAAAAATCCCGGGAGTCGGCCTCCTAACTTGGACCTATATAATAAGATCGACCAATAAATTCACATTTGTCACATTTTATACATCACATCAGATAAATATCATCGCAAAATACTATTCACTTTCAAGATATATTGATGGTGAAATGATAGACATATAAAACCCAAAATCTCATTCTAAAGAGCATAGAGGTTCAAGGGCTCTTTTCAAGGCATAGTATGCGAACGTTCATCGTCCTGCCTTAATAATATTGCAAAACGGTGGAAACACAAGATTAGAGAAATAATAGAAGTAGTTTAAGTTGTATTTTAATTTTAGCGATACATAAATACTTAAACACAATTAACATAAATTACTTAATCTAGCTTCTGTAATGATCAACAGAATCTCCATGTGGTCAGGGATTTTTGGTCTCCCCACCTCTTTGTATGTAACATTATAGGGAACAATCCTACTCTCCTATTTTTCTTTCCTTTTCTTTTAGAGGCTTAAAAAATTTGCCAACTCTTGTCCCTTTTGCCATACTTCATACAGTTGACCGAACATTTTTTCTGTCAAATATAAATCAACGTAATTGCACGGCGTCGTTCTGAATATCCTTCATTCTTCCAGTTTCGTGAAAACCCTTGCCCTGAACCAAAGTTGTTAAATACATTCACAAATCACAACACAAATTCCAATTCCGAAAAAGTTCCTAAATTTACCGTTCCAGTCCTAATTTAATCCAAATTCACCATTCCAGTCACCAAATCCCACGCCACTCTTTCCCTTTACCCCCCAAAATATTTTTCCCAGATATCCCTAAATTCTCTTTCTCCTCCTCCCTCTTCCCCCAAAATTTTCTCTTTCCCTCTCCCCAAAAACAACACACAATTTCACACACCCACAAGAACTAAACACACCAAAGCTCAAATCTTTTTTCTTATTATTACCCATCATTATTTCAAGATTATTACCCATGTTCCATTTTCTTGGATGATGCTTTCCTTTTCTTACAGTAGCAGTAGCAGGAACCTCTTCCTAGATATTGCAGCTGTCGATAATATTTCAAAATTTTCTTGGCCAAAACCCCAACTTTTGTTCAATGCAACCCCACGATCTCCACCTGTAAACCCTCCCTAGACAATCCCTTCTCCGATCCCCCTCACTATCATGTCCGACCCACAGCCCTCCTCGATCCAACACGATACAAACAATACCCACTCGGAAAACAAAGCTGAAAACAACTATAACAACAGTAATAGTAATAGTAATGCTAATAACAGTAGTAGTAATAATAATATAGTTGTCAGGAGAGAGAGACCGGCGAGGGAGTGTACGAAAAGGGCAGCGGCGAGGTTACAGGCGGCAGCAGCGGCGGAGGCGGAGGCTGCTGCTGCAGTGAGGAAGAAAAAGTCTGGAGTTAGGAAAGAAAGGTTAGCGGCTAGGTTATTGAGGGAGGAGGAGGATGAGGAGGAAAAGTTTCTAGAAGGTGATAATGATGACGAGGAAGGCGAAGAAGATGGGTCGCCGTCTTCGTCGAGGCAACAATGCAGCAAGATTGTGACACAGCTTGTGGGAGAGCCCGAGCCTTCGCAGTTGCCACGGTGGAACCTGCGGTCCATGTGGCAGTTAGCTTCCATATTGAATTTCTTGAATGTATGTCTTAAAGTTTGTAACTTTATGTTATATCTGTGCAATTTTTGGGGATAAATATACTTACTTTTCTTGTGGGGTTTTAGGTTTTTAGGCCTTTGTTGAATATTAGAGTGGAGTTCTCAGCGGAGGAATTTGAAACAGCATTGATTACTCCAAATGACACACTTGGTGATATACATATGCCATTGCTAAAGGTTGGTGATTTCGTCTTAATTCATTGCTTTTGGCGCAATTTGAGCTTTTACATACTCAGGTTTGGTACTGCATTCACTTAGTATTTGATGGTTCCTACTTAACTCTGGTGTTCTTTGGTGCTGTGGTGACTCCTTATACAAAGTGTAATTGTTTTTTGTATTTGTGAACCTTTAGATTTTACTCTGGAAAGTTGACTTGCATTATATGTTGCTTGAAATCAGAAAAAGAGTTTGTGCCCCACTTTTTAAACTAGAATTCTCTGCTCTCCTGTGTCTTTCTCTTCATTGGAAGTGAGGATGTCTGCAAAGTTTGCACCTTTTAACCTTTAATGCTGTTAGAAGGGTCATGGAACTACTTGGAGGATTATTTGTGTAGAGAAATACTGATTTGTGATAATATATATCGCGAAGTCCTGGAATCTGTATGAAAATGTTTCTCATGAAACACGTAGGATTAACTTTAGAGCCACTTTTGACATGCATACCAATGCAGCTATACCTTGAAATATGCAGTTTGGTTTGAAGTTAGCATTAGGTAGAGAACCACCCACTTCAAGATAGGGATGGGACTCGGTGCCTAAAATGCATTATTAGGTTTGAGGAAAGCATGGGGTTTACTTCATTAGATGTTGTATCTTAAGTAGAGGTAGACAATGGTGATCTTTTTCTGTTATGATTAAATGAGCATTAGTGTCATCCAGTTTTGATTGTCCATAGTAGTGATTAAGATTTTTTTTAAAAACTGATGGGTGAAAGCCTTGATTGGAACATAATAGCAGTACTTTGCTGATCCGGATCTCTTCGTGACTTCTTGGTAGACCATGTTAGTGGCCTTATGGTTTGCTAGCCTTTGTATGACGTAGAGGTTAGAAACCAAAGAGGTGGTATTCTTTGAGTTGGGCATATGTCCTGCTGATTTTCACATAACCGAAGGAGGAAACTGTACATGTGTGGTGCTACTCGTGATGGAGAAATTCTGTCTTGTGTGCATACAGCTGTTTGCTACTCTTGTGCCCTGTTCAATCAGGTTAAACTTAACTCTTTTGAGGAAGGTGTAGTGTTTGAGGGGTTTTGAATTGGTAATTCGTGCGTGACAGAGCAAGTGTCCGAGGGAGGGATTCCTATTTGCTTCCAAGTAAATATGATACTTTTGGAGGAACAACCAAAAGAAAGATGGATTGCATTTGGGGTGAACATAACTCATGAGAAAGATTTAGCTTTTCAAAGTTGACTGCCAATCCATCCCATGCTTGACAGATAACAAAAGTCTCGCATTCAAATCAAACTTTTTTACTAGGCATACGATCTTTGCCTCCATGTTATACCCCCATTCTTATTGTCCTTGAGCTTAACATTAACACTTAGTGGTTAAGGAGACTGGTCTGTTGATGCTTTCGTCTAACTGAATTTTATGCTCTATTGGGGGGCCGTTTCAGAGATATAATTTTGCTTTCCTTGAGCTTTATATCAAAGCATTGCTTCTAATATTTCAGTGATTTAACACACATTTTGATGATTTGAATCACCACTGGTACATGTGTACACACATTTTCATCCCCAGTAATTAGACTAACGTTTTTGTGACTGGATTTGCTTTAAATGCTCTTACATTGAAATTATATCAATTTAAGGTTTTTCCATTTTGTCATTTCTATTTCTTTTCCCCATCTCTGTAGGCAATTCCGCCAGTTACCCGAGTGGCACTTGGACACAATACATGGATTACGGTTTTGTGCAGGAAATTAAGAGATTGGTGGCATTGGGTAACTTAACCATTTGAACAAACTGAAGTGAGCTTTAGTTGTACATATTTTTAAATAAGTAACTGATAAATTTCTGCAGGTTGCTGAAGGGGAACTACCTATAGTTGCGTCACATGGGTAAGTTAGATATATTTTTGTTCTTGAAGTGTATTTGGTTTGTGTATGTACTTATCAAAAAAGTTTATGCATGTTGACTAGCCCCTTTGAATTTTCAGGGCTGAAATTGAAGCTTATAATGCACTAGATCCTGCAGTCCGGGTGGTGATTTTGAAAGCACTATGTGATATTCGTGTTGAGGTATTTTGCATCTAAATTTTATTTTACCTTAATTCTTGCCATCTGCTGTGTTAATTCCAAGCTCACTTGGTCTCAGAGACAGGTTTGTGACTAGCCACTTGTTATATTTGAGTAATCAATTCCTGAAGGCTAAGGATTTCTTAAATGATATTTGTGGCATCCTCAGTGGTTCGGTTTGACTTGGTTTATAGGAGCTTATCCAGAAAAGATAAGAAAATAGCTACTGAGTTATCAGAGTTGAATCAGACTTAACTTGGTTCTTTAATTTAGGCACTTATAAACTATATGAATATACCTGAATGTGCAATCTTTCCCATTGCAATCAACCAAAAAAAATATAAGTTATCATCTTAGGTAGAGATAGATTCTGTTTGACTCTTGATTTGTGAAATTGGACTGCATTGTTGATTGAGGACGTAGTTGCCTTAGAAGTATTCTCAGGCATTTTGTACATCTCATAAAATGAAGGGTATAGTAGTTTTGGAAGTTCATCCTTGTCCTCTTTCAAGTGGTGACTCTTCTCCATTTACTAGATGTGTCTAAGTTATGTTAGATCTTTTCTAGGATTAAGTTTAGTTTCACTACATGGGGCCGTGTTTGCAACCACCCCCCCC